GCAGTTGATCAAGGGACTGTGACAGTCTAATTCAAACTCGTTCACTCTAACTTGCAAGCAGTTGATCAAGGGACTGTGACAGTCTAATTCAAACTTGTTCACTCTAACTTGCAAGCAGTTGGCATAACTTGCTGCATCAGTAATGTGGCATTTTATCTGCCCTGGGGAAGACCAAATACAAGCAGTCCCCTGGTTACAGACAACTGCTACTTGCCCTTTAATGTTATGTAAATTTGCCTTCACTCTGAAATGACTGAACCAACCCCTACTCAAAGCAAATTCATCACAATCACCTTCACTTGCTGCAGGTGTAGCTTTTAAATCATTAAAAAGGCTTCAGGCCTTTTCCTGCACTAAAGTAATGCTAAACAAGCACCTTATCCACCTGTTCTGACTTACCTACAAATTCAACTTAAAGACACAGGTAGGAACAGATCTCATTCGTAACCTGGGCACTGCCCGTAATCCTGTTTTAGTTGAAAACTACTCTTAAGGAGAAATACTGTGTTCTCAAAATTACAGCTGGAAGCCATGGTAACTATCTCAAGGAAGAAAACAGAAAATCAAATTACAGAAAAGAACAAAGCATTCATCTTAATTTTTTCCCCCAAATGCTGACAGATCATGTGGAGAAGCTAAATATTCATAAGTAAACATAGCATACATCAATGTGGCTGAAGCTGTGCAAGACTCTGCAAGATCTTTAAAAAACTAAAATGTCTCCCAATGTCCCAAATCTAACTGTAACATCTCCAGGACCCCCATTCCAGGACAGAAAATAGAGTTCTTCTCAGAAAAGAAAAGTATCTTTTGTCTGAATTCAACTGCACATTAACCCATAAGCTTCTTGAAATGTATCCCTTTTATTCTGAAGAACGATAACTGGATTAATAAGCTGTTTTGGTCTAAAAGACTCTTTGCTTTAAATTTTGAGAGAAAAGATTAAACTGCTCTTGTGTCCTATCTTCTCACAGGCTTAAGTCTACATATAGACCAGTGATACTAATAATAATAGAAGAAATTTTAAAACAAAGTTGTCATAGCCTCTTTTCTGAATGAATTTCGTTGGTGAAAATATAGGAAGTTGAAAGATAAGCAAAGAAACTGGCATATATCTGACTGTAAAATTTTAAAATTCAAGCAGGCCTTCATATTACACAATTTTGCTCAGTGACTGAATCTAAAGCATAGTATTAACCTTCTATTTATTTTATCAGCCTAGTATTAACCTTCTCTTATTTTATATTTTTGGTGAAGAACGTTGACTATACCATGGACTGACAAAAGAACAAACAAATCTGTCTTGGAAGAAGTACAGCCAGAACGCTCCTTAGAAGCAAGGATGGTAAGACTTCAGCTGACACACTTTGGACATGTTATCAGGAGGGACCAGTCAGTCCCTTGGAGAAGGACATCATGCTTGCTAAAGCAGAGGATCACTGAAAAAGAGGAAGACCCTCAATGAGATGGGCTGACACAGTGGCTGCAACAATGGGCTCAAGTGTAACAAGGATCGTGAGGATGGCGCAGGACAAGGCAGTGGTACGTAAGAGTCACTGTGGTACGTAAGAGTCACTGAGTCAGAACCAACTTGACGGCACCTAACAACAACAACGTTTTATAAGCTAGTTATTCTTTTACAATATTAAATTTGAGGAAGATGGTTTTACTTTTTCTCAGATCATCAGACTATTAGAAACCCAAGTTGCATAGAAATGGTAACCAAAATGACCTGGCCTTTTTGAGAAACAAAAAAAACCAAAGTTCTTATACAGTTAACATACAACAATGGCTATTTCTCTAAAAATACCCACTTATCCTACCACTCTTGGTTAAGTACCTTAGTTATCTAGTGCTGCTATGACAGAAATACCACAAGTGGGTAGCTCTAAGAGAAATTAATTTTCTCACAGTTTAGGAGACTAATTCAGGGCACCAGCTCTAGGAGAAGGTCCTTGTCTTTCCAGCTTCTGTTCTTGGGTTCCTTGGCGAACACATAGCATGTACCTTCCCCTCCGTTTGTGCTTGCTTGCTTAATCTGCTCTTTTATATCTCAACAGAGATTGATTTAAAACACACCCTACCACGATATGCAGATGACAAATCCTTGCCTGCTGAAAGCAAAGAGCACTTGAAGCACTTAACTGATGAATATCAAAGACCCTTCAGTATGGACTGCACCTCAACGTAAAAAAATCCTCACAACGGGACCAATAAGCAACATGATGATAAATGGAGAAAATTATGAAGTTGTCAAAGATTTCATTTTACTTGGATCCACAATCTACGCCCCCCCGAAGCAGCCGTCAAGAAATCAAGGGGACGCATTGCATTGGGCAAATCTGCTGCAAAAGACCTCTTTAAAGTGTTCAAAAGCAAAGATATCACTTTGAGGGCTAAGGTGTCCCTGACCCAAGCCATG